GTCGTCGTCGTCGTCGTCGTCGTCGTCGTCGTCGTCGTCGTCGTCGTGGTCGTCGTGGTCGTGGTGGTCGTGGTGGTCGTGGTGGTCGTGGTGGTCGTGGTGGTCGTGGTCGTCGTCCAGGTACATCTCTCTTTCTCTCCTCGTCTCCTGTCTCTGTCTCTGGAAGAGGTTGTTGTTGCTGTTGTTCTTGTTGTTCTTGTGCTTATGTAGATGTGGATGTAGTAGTAGTTGTTGTTGTTGTAGTAGTAGGAGGAGTAGGAGTAGGAGTAGGAGTAGCAGTAATGGACGGCCACTTGGGCATCGCACCACAGGCCCTTGAAAACAGCTATGTTGATGCTATCTGGGTACCCCTCGTTTTTCTGTTGATCCATCGAACATCATGTCGACAAAGTTCGACCAAAATGCCTTTGCCCAGAGCGTGGTCGGCGGCAGGGGGCGGCGCCCATGTTACCTAAAGGTACAGGCCTGAACGGCCTGAAGCCTTTGGCGACAAACAGGGCCTGCTGGCCCGATTTTGGAGGCCATCGCTGGTAGGTTGAAGGCCGTTGCAAAGACTGTCCCTTTAAGTATCAGCAGAGCCATGTTTTGAGTCCCAGCTTTCAGTAGATACTCGCGGTGAATTCTCTTGATCAACAGTTTGCCATTTACATCATTCTGCACAGCCAAAGCCCTTTCCTTGAGAGTCACTTGTTTGGAAACACATACTCATGCGAAGACTAAGAATCAACGGCGGCCTGTGGGCTTGGAAGAAATTCACTCGTCAAACTTATCCAACCAAAAAGAGGACTAGACTCGGAGGGGATACAGATTTGCCAATTTCCGTCCCCCGGAAGTTTCAGCGCTTCAAAATACTGAGGCGCTGTTTCTCAACGAGAGCACATCACCCCACCTGCCCCCATCATGTTTGGCCAGTACAAAGGAACAAATTTGCAAGAAACTGGGGCTAGATATTAGCTAGAAACCAGCCCAATCGGTGATATGGATTGCAGAGGAGGTTTCATGATGTTTCATCCAGACAACTGGAGGGGTGAAGTCTCGCCATTGGGACCAGTTCGCGGATCCGTTCGTGACAAGGACTTGGCACTGAAGCGGAATGGTGCAGTTCGCCCTCGAAGTGCGCAGGTGGATTCCTGCCACTCGTGGACCACCCGTGGAATTCTGCGGGCGGAAGAGGGTCTCCTGGGTGGAAGAGTGGAGAAATATGTTTGTTATTTGTGTCACCACCACACCCAGAAGATGGGAGTGCTTGAAATCAGAGTTGCGGAAAATTCTGGCTCTATCAAGGTACCCTTCAAACATCTCTTAGAATCTGTTTTGGTCTTGGAACGGAATGCCGAATGGAAGGGCTCCGCAGAATTGGTGCCGTCACAACTCCCCGGTTCGTGGCCCACTGGTTTAATAGCCGGGTCATCCCGAACAGCCATTGTTTTACTAAGGATTGTTGCACGACAAAACCAGGTCATGTTTTTTTCACATGGTCTTCGAGCTGTGGGGCCTAGCTAGGGACTCAGGCTTCGTAGGAAACTGACGCAGGTTGTTTGAGGAATTGGGAAGAAGATGTTGCAGCAACACGTTGGAAGCCTTTTTTTGAAGTGCCATGCAGTTCTGGAGATGCTCAGAGTGTGGGTTTCTGAACACTTCTTGCAGCTCATCATTTGGTTGAAATTCACCAAGTGGGAGGTTTTAAGTTGGTACCTTCATTTTTGCTCAGAATTCTTGCCACAATTCCTCCAGGATACAGGCCCAGGCCTAAACCATGTCAGCTAAGGTCAGTGGAATTACAACAGTTTCCATGGAAGCTTCAAGTGGAGGCTGCACCAGAGAGGAGAGCAGAGCAGATGTTTCATTCCGTCAATCTGCGGCTAGATATTGCTAACTGTGGCTTGTTTGTTTCAAGCAAACCGTGAATTGGGTACCCAGGACCCACATATTGCAAAAAGACAAAGAAATGCCTTTCTGATGCTGTTTGTAGGGAGTGCTTACGCACATGGGATAAAAGACCCCTGCTTTCACACGCTTTGTTTGACATGGAAACTCGTAGATGAGGTTGAGAAGAAAGTATTCAAATGCTCCTAGTAGCTTCTTGTTCCTAGTAGTATGGCCAAGAGCCCCTAGTAGCGTCCGATCGCTCCGTTCGTAGCGATGCCCTTTGCTCCCTTCGTAGCGAACCTTGCTCTTAGTTACTAGTTCCGCCACCTTCGAGCAGTTCGGCTCCCTGGCGTCCTCAGATACTTGGACGAAAGCAGCTACTTCGCGGCCATGCCCGAAGAGTGGCGCCGACAGGCACCGAGACCTCGGGGTGATCGGTCCTGGAAGATCACCGAAGAGCCAACGGAACCTACTAGTGATGGCCTACGGAACCTAGCATCAAAGCAGATCACCAGCCAGTGTGAAGTCGCAGCGTGAAGTCGCAGTGAAGTTTTTTGCCGGCAATTCTTTGGGAAGTATAGAAATCTGCACTTCTTCAAATTGCTTTGTATCGAACAAGTGTCTTTGCTTCGAACAACTTGACACGGATGGAACAGTGTCTTTGCACCACAAGAGGCTTTAGCATGACCCAATGGTAGCCCCTTTCTGAGACATAGGCCTTTAACCCAAGCCTTAGAAGGAACTTTACACCTTTCAGGCGGTAGCGTGTGGCCGCGTAAAGCGACAAGCGCGCAGGTGGAATCGTTTCATCGTCGAGTAACCTGGACCTTTCCCTGCGACTTCACCGTGAAAAAGCCCGTGCCATGGCATCACAGGGCTGATCAACGCCCCAAGGACTCCTGCGACGATGCACAGTGATTCTCCGCGACGATCTACACCACCATAACTCTGCCTGGATCAGTCCTCTTTTTAGTCTGTCAAGCATGCTGAGTGGCATGAGATGTATATACATTAATATATACTATATATATATACCCTAGACTTCCAAGACCACAAAAACAATGGTTGACCTGGTTTTTGTAGTGTAAAATCCTTAGTTGATTCGCTAAAACCTATTTAATTAATGGTTGTTGGAAGCCTAGGGTATATATACACGGTTGGTGGGTCGCTTGTGCACCGCGGAATTGTCTCGCTTGTGCACCGCGGATTTGTCTCGCTTATGCACCGCAAGCTGCCATTATATCCCCACCCACCCCCACCCCCCCACCCCACCACCCGGATGTAAGATGTGATGATGTGGCCGCAAGCCGATCATTCCAATCCGACCCCACGGACGTAAGATGTGATGATGTGGCCGTGGGCCAATCATTCCATTAGATCCCCCCCACCCCACCCCACCCGGATATAAGATGTGATGATGTGATCAGGAGATTCGTGGCGCGTAAGTGAGCATGGCTGTGGACGTGGACCTGGGGTGGTTGAGTCATTTTGGCAACCCTTACAGCAGCTTTGAGCTCCGTGATGCGTAAGTGATCCAATTTTGTGGTGCGTAAGTGAGCGAAAATGCTGTGGTGCGCAAGTGAGACAAATCTGTGGTGCGTAAGTGATCCACCGCCCTATATACACCTTTTAAATATATCCTATCCTAGCAGCCTTTTGAGGCTTGACAAACATCGATATGATGATGGACGAGGCCAGAGAGGTGTCCACTCGACCTAGGTGCTGGTGCACCACATGGACGAAGCCATCGAAGGCTACTTGGAACACCTACAGCAGCAACATCCGAGTCTCGGCAGCCGGCAGCCGGTGTCGCCCCTGAGGTGTCGCCTAGTAGCGTCCGATCGCTCCTAGTAGCGATGCCAGGAGCCCCTAGTAGCCAACATTGCTCCTAGTAGTAAGGCCAGGAGCCCCTAGTAGCGTCCTAGGTGACTTGCAAGATCATTTGGCACTTTGATTTTTGGTCTTGCAATTGATGTGCCCCGCTTCTTCTCAGGAATCAGACCACAGTGCTCCTGCCGCGAAAAGATACCTGCGCAATTGCTGGGCAGGGGGATGTGGGGCCATTGGACAACAGACGCCATGTTGGTTTGGAATCAAGCTCAGTATGCAGCCTTCAGAAGCACCAGCGTTCATCAAGTTGAGAAACCAGGCCCAGAATTCCAATGTGTAATTTTCTATCTTCTGCGTTAGTCATCAAACCTTAACAGGCTGTTGTTTTTCAACCAAGCCCAAAGATGCAGACAGTCGCTGGGGAGCTACAAGCCCTACGCTAAACAAGATTGCACAGTGCATGTTTGTTAGTTGATGGTTTGTGCCGGGTTGCCTGTGGTAACACCCTGCTTGATGTGGGGGGATTCTTCCGAGCCCCTCACCATCAACCGATGATTGATGTTCCAGTGTTTTTGTTCCATGACGATTGGTTTGAACAGGTTTGAACTTCCCATGATGCTTGAGGTGAGACATGGTGATACAAGATCAGTTGTCATATTCTCCAATCAAGGATTTCGTTTGAAAGGTCTGCGCAAGTTCAGAGACTACATTGTGGTGACCTTGGGACAAGGACTTCCAGGTTTTGATAGAAAAACCCAAGGGTGGTATGTTCATACTAGCATTCTTGAAGGTGTAAAGACAAAACGTAGCTCTTGGTACACAGAGTTCGACACCCTTTGCCTGCCTGAGATTTGTGAGGTTTTCCTAATTTTTTTCTGGGCTGCCACGGATTTCAGGGCAATCACAGTGACAATCACTTGTCCCAAAACTCGTGCAGTTTTCAGCTTCAAAGAGGAGGTTTTTGAAGCGTCCAGGCGTGGTTCTGAAGGGTGATCTGGTTAATGCCAGGAGTAACTAGTAGCTTCTTGTTACTACTAGCGATGGCCTCAAACCTAATAGCGATGTCCTCCACCTAGTAGCTTCTTGTTGATCTGGTGGATTGAGGATCAAGGATTGACAAAAGAATCCTGTTTGATGCTCAGTAACACACTCTGTTGTCAGAGTGTGTTGCACAGCTGCTTTTGTTGGGCAGATGCCGTCCGATTCGAACCCAAGACCGTCCGATTCGGTGCTCTCGCGTCCGTCCTTGCGGCGATTCCCCGGTGTGGTCCCACAGGTCATGGATCGCCTCAAGCGGCTTTGGCAACACCTGGTGCCGGCCGCCGTGGGCGGAGAGGCGACTGAGTCGCGAGAGGTCAAGAGGTCACTGGAGTCGCGACTTTGGACCGAACCGGCATGACTTGCGTGGAAGGTTCTGTTTTAGGCTTCACATTTCAAGCGAACGGCATCGTTTTCGGGTGATGTTTGGTGTCCATTTTTCTTTGGACCTGGTTCACCGATGTGGCCGTTTGAGGGCTCCTCCTCCTCCAGCACCTCAGCGCCTCGGAAGGCGCGGTCAGGTTCCGGTCCGGGGCAGAAATGGAAGGATCGATCTCGGTTCCGTTCGTAGCTTCTTGTTACTAGTAGTAACAAGTGCATCGCTACTAGTAACAAGTGCCTTACTAGTAGTAACAAGAAGCTAGTAGAAACAATAAGCTAATAGCTTCTTGTTACTAATAGCGATGCCAGGAGCTACTAGTAGTGTCCTTGCTCCTAGTAGCGATGCCAGGAGCCCCTAGTAGCTTCTTGTTACTAGTAGGCATGAGCGAATATTATGTTCTTTTTGGCCCCGGGAGGGGTAGGCCCCTGGAGGTAATAGCTAGATGTAGCTACTAGCTGCAAGTAAGCTACTCTGAAGACACAAACCTCCCTTTCTGGAGGTGTGGTATGCACCATACAAGTTCGAGGCCTACGGCGAAGAGGAGACGACCGAAGTCGACCGGCCGAGATGCCGAAGTCGATGGGAGGGCAGTTGGCTGGTCCGCCTTCCCACAGTGGGACGGTTCTAGAAGGCGCTGATTCCAAGCTTTCTACGAGTTGTTTACTGCGTTTACTGAGCGAAGGCCACCAGTATTCTTTTGAGGACGCAACACAAGCTACTGTAGATGTTGAAACCTCCCACAATCTGGTGATTGCACAAAGAAGGTTGTGAAAATGCAATTGACCAGGTCAGCAGTTCGCTTGCAAACAGCTGTCCGGGTACGGGTGAAGCAGGCCACCAGGGTTCCTTCATTATTTCCACCCTCAGCAGATTGAAACATTCACAAAACCAGATATATCCAGTGTTTGGCCTCCAAAAGGTGTACAAAGCATGACAAACCGGACAAAAGCCTGGGAGAAAATGGGAGGTGTTGCATCAAATGTGGACCAAACCGAACAGCCTCCATACGCTCACCTCGACCTCCTGGACCGGTTGCGACTGCAGGAGATCGCCGCTGTGACCGCAGCCCTGAGGGATGGCTGGTTGGCCCCTGGCCCACGTGCGGTGCCGAGCGGAGGGCAGATGTGATGAGTTGAAAGTGGAGGTGTTTCTTTTAAAAATTCGGAAAGAGTGGTTTGAAATGGTTTGAATGTCCTCAAAATAACACCAGCTTCGGACCCCAAGTTTGGGCGGCCGCTTGATGGTTCGTTTTGCTCATGAGGCTTGCCAAAGCGTTTCTAAACAAGAATTGGAAGCCCTCACAGCAAAGTTGCTTTTCTTTATTGCAATAATAATAATAGTAGTAATAATGATCATATAGTAATAACAACAATAACAATAACAAAACATGAGGCCTTGATAGGCACCGCCGGCGCACATGCAAGGGCGTCATGGGTGCAGGTTTGCGGTTGATCAGCCACCCTTGGAGACCTCCAAGACCGAGGATTCGCACCCAAAGATGAACAAGGACTTCTCTCTCTCTCTCTCTCTTAGGTTGGAGGCCATCGCTAGTAGGTTGGAGGCCATTACAATTAGCTTGGCCTCGAACGGTCAAAAGCTTGTTGCCATCGGTGAAGGCTTGATTAGGCTGCTTCCAAACATGAATCGCCCAGAGATCGGTCCGTCGGGTCTGTCGCCGGGAACCGTGGACATCCGTGGACCGGAGACCTTTGCCGTGAGGCACCGATGAGTTCGAGGCAAAGGTCTCTGAGCTCTTTGGAGACCCAACTGCAGAGGTGAGAAGGGAGGTGGGCCACATGAGTGGCCACGTGAGTGGGAAGAGCATCATCATCCCCTCCAAATGGAGGTCCCTGAGAGAAGTTTGGTGATTTCATTCGGTCAGTGAGAAGACAGGTGATTGAGAAAGAAAGCAAAGACCCATGAAGACCCGTGAAGGGGATGGCAATCTCTCTGGGGATGAAGCGACAAACACCTTGGATGTCCATATCAACGAGCTAGCACAAGGGCATTCAGTATGTCTAGTGCACGTCCTTCAGTATGTGCTCGTGGGGGTTCGGGTATTGCAACTTTGAAGATGTGAAGGCAGGATTTGGAGGAGAAAGGAATGTTGATGTTTGATTTGTTTGCATGGTTTGCTCTTCAGCGGTTTGTTTGTTTGTCATTTCTTCCTGAATGCTTGTGGATATGGATATGGGTGCTTGAAGGTTTAGCTAGTTTGGCTTCAACTTCATTCTTTCAGACATGCCTTGCTCCGCTTCACCAGCCGACTTCGGGACACCTTCGCTTTCAAAAGGGTCCCGTTAAGTCTCAACCTGGGACCGAAGCGGGTCCGAGGAAAGCGCTTTGGCGTGATGGTGAACTCCGGAAGCTCTGTGCCTCGGCCGAGGTTGGCACCTTGCTACTAGTAGCATCCTTGTTCCTAGTAGCAAGAATGCTCCTAGTAGTAAGGCCAGGAGCCCCTAGTAGCTTCTTGTTCCTAATAAGCCCGCTCCCCCCTCCTTAAATAAGTAAGGAATTGAGGTAACTAGTAGCATACTTAAGCTACTACTTAGGGCGCAGGATAGCTCACGCACTATTTATTTGGTTCCTAGATTTTTAGGGAAACTTAACTATAGCAATGGCCTTCAACCTACTAGCAAACTATACTATATGGTTGGCTTCGTTTTCGCCAGAGCGCTGTTTCTGGCAAAAAGAGGTACGATGGAGCAGATAACGTACTTGGCTGCATCGTGTGTAAAGGGTAAGGTTGTTCAGGCCCTAGCTGTCTTTAGATACTCAGGTCGTGGTAAATACCATGGCTTCATGATTAGTGTAAGTTGTGAAGCATGCAAACCACAGGCCCCTCTTATCAGAAGCCCATGGTTCTTATCCTTCGCAGCTCCACATTTCTTCGATGCTTTGATGGGCCCCTCTGAAGCCACGGGCCACTGGGGCCACCAAAGGAGCTGGGAACATCCGGCGTTCTTGCCAAGCAGCATGAAACGCGAATCCAAAAACACAAGAAAGAAATTTGACAACTGCACAAATTGATTAGATGATTTGGGTCGATTGGCTTTCCAAGAGCTGGTTGGAACATCTGGAAATGAAAAATGTCCTTGCTTTGAGTGATTTAAGCGTGTCAGCCAGCCCCATCGGTCAGAGCACAAGAGAACAAAGGGAACATGTTAGGCCACGGAACAAGCGCAAGTCCCATTCTCTTTCCCTTCAAAAACCAGTGAACATTGCGGAACGCGATCCAAGGGGAACATTATTGGCTTGGCAGCCTTAGGCTTGCAGCGAGGCGCGGCATCTCGCGAGCGGAGTGGACGCGGCGAGTCGGAACCGCGGTTGGAGTGTAGTAGCTTCTGAGAGGCGAAACCTGCCCCCTGTTCCGACTCGGAACGTGGGCTCTGTGGGAAACCATCTTGTGTAATGAAGTACAGATACAAAGAACTCCTGTGGCTTGCCAGTGTTCAATCTTTGAGGTGCTAAATTCTGGGGATTCAGATGAAGAATTTGCCCCGCAAAGAAAGGCTACCCTGCTCACCAGTTGTCCCCTCTGTCATAGAACAGGTTCTTTGCAGGAGGCAGGTTCCAGCGACAGGGAAGGTTCCAAATTTCACTGGTTCAGAAGTGATGTTACATGCCCCTGAATCCTGAATCCCTACACATTTGTTGATCTAGGGCAGGAGCGAGCTTGAAGAAGGGTGCTAGATTCTGTCATTGGATGGTACATGCCGAGCACTGGGAAGAATCAACCAGTCATGCCGCAGGTCACAAGTAAAAAAAAGATGCGAGCAGGAAGTGTTGTGTTCAAAAGACATGAAAGTGGACAAAGCTCGAATATGCAAGGATAGATGTGCGAAACCTGGATTCTTATATATAGGTCGTTGTTCATCATGAGCAAGAAGAACCCTATGGCTTAAGGCTCCAACATACCACCTGACGTTCGACCAAGTGGCTCCCCATTGCGTCGGAATGTAAAATTAAACTTAAGTCTAATAGCAAACATTGTTACTACTAGTAAGGCACCTGTTACTACTAGCGTGGCACCTGTTACTATTGAAAAAAAGAAACACGCAAGAAAAAGTTACTACTAGTAACAAGTGCCTCGCTAGTAGTAACAGGTGCCTTACTAGTAGTAACAAGAAGCTATTCGACTTAAATTTCATTCTAAATTAAATTACTAGCTTCTTGTTACTAGTAGCGATGCACTTGTTCCTAGTAGCTTCTTGTTACTACTAGCGTGGCACCTGTTACTACTAGTAAGGCACTTGTTACTAGTAGCGATGCACGTGCAACTAAGAAACATGCAATCGACCTACAGAAACCAAGGGCATCGCTATTAGTAACAAGTGCCTTACTAGTAGTAACAATGTTTGCTATTAGAATTAAAGTTAAAATTAGATGTTAAAAAAAAAAAAAATAGATTAAATTAATAGCTTTTTGTTACTACTAGCGTGGCACTTGTTACTACTAGCGTGGCACCTGTTACTACGCAATCGACCTACAGAAACCCCCACAGGCGACGAGGTCATCACGCCAGCATGTTGGGGAGCTCGGGGGAAGATGTCGAAGCGCTTTTTCGACCCAGCGCTTGGGCCATGGATGCCGACGGTGCGTCTCTTATGTTCTTTTTATTTTGCCATAGATGCCATTATGGCATGTACTGTGTATATATAGACCAGTGGTGACTATACCAAGTCCTGATATGTTTGGTTCGGAAAAAAATGGTGCGAGGACGGATTAAGGGTCTCGCTATTAAAATACACATCCACATGTTCCAGCCTTGATTGGCACCAGCGACCGGTATTTTCTTGGGCATGGATCTGTCGGTACCAGAGCAAAACCTGCAATGAATTCGACCACATACGTCACATACCACAGAAACTTTGAACCCTTGATCAGGCCTGGAAACCCCAAAATCAAAAAATGTCCCCTTGGATCACCGAATTCGCCTCGGATCGTCCCCCACTTCCCAAGTCACCCAAATCATTAGTGTGGGTCCAAAAGCCAAGGCCACAAATCGGCCGTAGAATGGGGAGGATTCCATTCGTGGTGTGTTCGCAAGAAAGGATGAAAAAAGATGAGAAGAAGAAAGAACGAAAGAAAGAAAGTTCCAAAGGTCAAAAAAGAAAAGAAAAGAAAGAAAGCTACTAGTAGCTTCTTCTTACTAGTAGTAAGGCCAGGAGCCCCGATCGTAGCGAACCTTGTTCCTAGTAGCGATGCCCTTTGTTACTAGTAGCTTTATTGTTCTTAGTAGTAAGAATGCTCCTATCAGCGATGCCAGGAGCCCCTAGTAGCTTCTTGCTCCTAGTAGTAAGGCCAGGGGCCCCTAGTGGCGTCCCTGCTCCTCAGTAGCGATGCCAGGAGCCCCTAGTAGCGATGCCCTTTGCTCCTAGGAGAGACTTTGACTTGACAAGTCGTTCATGTCGACTTGTGAGGCACCTTCGCCACCTGCATCGCGCCCATGGAGCAGCTGGGGTTGCTCCACTGAAATTGGTCGGTGGACGTCGGTGGAACTGGTGGAAACTGAAAACATGGTGAAACATGGTGAAAACGTGAAAACAATGGATGCACAAGGGAACACGAGCCTTAAACCTGCATCGCTCATATCAACCGTTGGTACAAGCAACTCACCTCATGTTGGATGCTGGATGGCAGTTTGAACTGCCAGGGCAAACCTGTTGCTTTTGCTTGCTTTGGGGCGTACTATCTTTGAGAAGACGAATGTTTGTCAGCGCATCGGCGCATGTTGAAGAAAGTAAGAAAGGTTTGTAGGTCCAAAGAACGTCAGAGAAAATGAATTTATAAGTCTGTGAGGCAGAAGATGTTTACCGTCACAGCACCTGCAGGTTGACGCCGGTCTTCATAGACGTGATCCCCAACCGCTATGTGCCTAGCGTCGAGCCTTGGGAGCAGAAGTGTTCCGTCAGCGTCATGTTTTGGGCATTGGATGGACTAAGACAGCCTCGTGTCAGCACAGCGGGCTCTTGGCAGATGCAGTGATTTGCAGGATTGCAGGATTCTAAGCCTAGAGGAAAGTCATCGCTGATACAGTAGTAGCATTCATCAGAGTTCATCAAGAAGGTGCCCTTTTGCGTCAAACATGATTCTTGCTCTTCAGAGTGGAGAGTCTTTCTCATACCAGCCGTTCTTTGGAATCTAAGCTTCTTGTTACTACTAGTAAGGCACCTGTTACTACTAGCGTGGCACCTGTTTCTACTAGCTTTTTGTTACTACTAGTAAGGCTGTGAGCCTGAAACCAAGGAAATGGTCTTAGCAGCTGTGACCCCGAAGACAAAGTGCCTTGCTCATTGAGGGCTGAGTCCAGGGAAGAAGTTGCGTTCTCGCGGGTGGCTTGGCCACGGGCGTCGTTGGCCACTCCCCGATGTGATGATGCCCTTGTTCCTAGTAGCTCTATTGCTCCTAGTAGCGATGCCAGGAGCCCCGTTCGAACGTCCGATCGCTCCGTTCGTAGCGATGCCCTTGTTCCTAGTAGCAGACAGAAAGCAAAAGACGAAATGAAGCATACCTCTTTGGGGCCACAAGAACTCAATCCCGTCCTACAAAAGATGTCAAAAGCGTCCTAGGAGAAGACAGGAAAATCACTGGGATCGATACAACTGCGTTATCTCAGGTGCATCTTCATCCCCAACCTGGCCGGTAGCAAGATCGACTGGGCAGAGCAACTGGGCTCAGAAGATCCCAGACCACGACAGGGAACATCGAAAAAAAAGGAAAGAAAGGAACGAGGATCCAAAGAAAAGACCCTCCGGTGGTGGACCTAAGACTTTGTGCTACGAACGGAGCGATCGGACGCTACGAACCGGGCTCCTGGCCTTACTAGTAGCAAGGTGCCTTACTACTATAGGAACAAGAAGCTACTAGGGGCTCCTGGCCTTACTACTAGGAGCATTCTTGCTACTAGGAGCAAGGTTCGCTACTAGGAACAAGGACCACTAAACTTTCAGCAACCAGCTTCGCTACTCCAACCACCCCCTTCTTGGCATCGCCAAACAGAAGAATTGGTTCGCCTCCGGCATCGCGCCAGTGGGTTGGAACCCTTTGGGGGTTGATGGATTTCTGCGATACTGAAATATGAGGAACGGAAGCTCTTAACTCAGACCTGTCAGTGTGTGTGTGTGCGAGAGCTTTGTAAATGTTGGAAATGAGAGGTTCCGACTCAGTTTACAATTTGAGGTTCTATGTGGGAGTCCAGTTCGCTTCCAGAACCCCTTCCAGAACCCCTTTTCTGCCCGCCTCCGACCATCGAACAGGTTGAGGAGACGAGTGCCAGATCACATTTGGCTTTTTGAGGACCGCCGGAGCCGAATAGAACAAGAAGCTACTAGTAACAAGTGCATCGCTACTAGTAACAGGTGC